CTTGTCATCTCTGGGATTTATCCGTTGTTATTTTAGATGCTCTTCTCGAATACTTTCTTTCAAATTCGATTATTACCCAAGAGCTTTTGACATTCGATGCCTTCCCTAGACCCCATAATTACAATACTCGTATCAGCTTACCTTAGCTTACTGAAATAATACTTTTTTGGAGTTTTTGTCCATCCGATGCCACCTGAATGAATAGACCAGGTCCTGTGCAAGTCAGCCTTTTTAGAAATCGTATAAGAAACCTTGAAAAAATTCGAGCCTTGCTTTCTGGGCAATGTACCATTTATCTCCTACACTACTGAAATCCCGCTTGTCCTCCTACCTTTTTAAGGGCTTCCCGGCCCTTTTCTATCAGCCCGAACACATATAACCTGATGAGCTGGTCAGCCAGAAATCGCGCTTTTTATCCTTTCCACAACAGAGATCAATTTTGACGTCACCTTACTTACTTGGCTTTCGATTACCACTTTAGTTTGGCGGAAGGGCTTTCTCGTCACTACGCCACTAATTGGTTGTGACCCAACTCAAGTGACCCCGACCATAAATTTTTATTAATTTTACTCAAATTTTATTACTAATAAGTCTTCTCGCCACCAGCTTGTCAGGGTATTAGCAGTGGTCCCGTGAATCAGTTTCTCTTCCGTTGAGCCTTCTCCTCTCCTTCTCAATGAGGTTCACCGATGAACCAAAAGGTTTCCACCATGTTCTCAATGGAGTTGTGTAGTTTTACTCTTTGTTTCTGAGCCAATTTGTCTTTGTTCGCAGAAATTTCCCCTTTTGTGGAAGGTACTGGATCTTGTGGTTGACAGAGCTCGGTAACGTTTTCCAAGTGTTGCACCCTGAGCATACTTCATATTATTGCAGCGAAAACACTGGTTCTCTATTCGCTCTGGTTTCGGACTCATCTACGTTTCCAATTTTGTTTCAGCTTAACCTGATCGTGACAGTAGCTTTTTTCAACTGATTCAAGTCTTTTTCCATATGTTTTTTAGTTAAGCTGATGGCTCGCCTAGACGAAACGCGATATGCTGGGGAAGCAGTTTGTCTTCGACTGGAGCACAACTTCACAATACCCGATACGATTTCAGATGGATTCTTCTGTGACAATTCACAGGATGACAGTATGTGAGTTAGCGAATCCCGCACATTTTGTAAGCGAATTTTCCATAAACCATCAAACTAATAGTTTTCATTACATTGCCGGTTACATCCTCTTCGCTTCGCTCATTCTCACTCATTTTCGTCAACGAACATTTAAAACCAATTTATTCTTTAAAATTCACTCTTCTTTTACACAAAACCCATTCACACACTCCGAAATTTCAAAATTTATGATTAGATTGCTCGAAACAAAGGCAAATGCTCCTCTTCCATGAGCATAACTTGCAGATGGAATTCTAAATCGAAATTCACTTGATCACCTATGTCTTCCACTGCTCCTTCGTCGCCGCTTGAGATCAGGATCCCCTTCGATAAAGGAGCTGTTTTAACCCATTGACGACCGCGTGGCCCACCGACGGGCCACACCACATCGTGCTCCTGTATATTTCTCAAGTGTTCTTATAATTTTTTCTCGTTTCCAAGTACCAGCTGAACTCGCAGCCTTCTAGGGAATCTGAGATTGTATAAGAGAAATTAGAATTTGATGTAAGGTCAATATAAAAGGCGCGATCGCCAATGGGTAAAACTTCAGCCCTTCCCCCTTACCCCCTCCCCCCTCCCCTGCCAATTCTAAGCTAAGCAAATGATGAAACATTCGTTTCAACGATACTCAATGATGTAAACGAGATATCTCCCATTGAAAGCAGTGACTGTTGGTCGATGCTGGAAGCTTCAGTCCTCACAATTTCCAAGGATGTTTGCAAAATCATTAGGAGCGCTAACGTTATGAGAAAAATGCGTGAAATTGCTCACTTCCTTCCGATTTCTGATCGTCGATGTACAATTTGTTTAATTGCGTCTCCCACTCTATTTACTGGTGAGGAATGAGCTCGATAAATTGGTCTATCCTCTTTAGTCAAGCTGCTTCGGGTGAAATCGAGGGGAAAGAAGAGGCATCCTGAAATAGAAAAGCTATTCACCCCAGTGCCCCTTTGGAGCCTCTGCGCCAATAATACCCTCTTGTGGAGGTATTCCAGCTGTCTTTCCATCAAGCAATGTCCAAAACTCTTTCTCTATTCGCTCAGGGGATCCAATCTGGGGAGCATATGCAGAGAAAGATGTGATACGGTTGCTGTTCGGAACCAATCTTCATCAGGCATTCACTGAGGGTTCGATACTCACAAGCGAGTCCCGGAAACGTTTGAAGACAATAACTACGTCACCGTTGTTGGTCTTGGGACCGCCGCACAGCCTGTCAATATTGGGAGTTGCGATTCGAGCATTCTATACCTTGCAGGACTTCTGGAATAACACAGTTGCGTCGCGATGCCGCCCTTGTACCGGCAACCCACGCACACTTCTCACGCCCACCGGGCTTTGCGAGTACCCGGCGGCTCCCGCTGTAGCATTAAATAGTGATACATTACATGCCATTAATCATTTGTATGTGATAAGGGTTTCTTAGGTTGGCCTGTTACAAAGGCTTTCAACTGCATTCGAGGAAAGTCTCCCTTCAGTGAACTCCTCTAAACGAACAGCTCCCACTCGCATCCCGTGGAGGCACGGGCAACACCATTTTGCAACTGCGAACCAACTTTATACTTTGATTTCTTCTATTTTCCGCAAAGGCAGTAGGCGATTCGCGGGATAGAAATCAAGTTGTTCGTGTTGTCGGTTTTTGATGCGCCCACACTTTGACTACCATCCACTATAGAGTGACTGAAGTATGTATGTATTTGGCCCACACGATGAGGTGGGGACTGACCGACCAACTAGTGGGTGGTTATACCTTCACAGCCAAGACCTTCACCAGTCACCAGTTCATTGAGCGGTTACCAGAAGAGGTTCTATGCGAGGTGAAGATGTCATTTTGCGATTTGACATTTCGACCAACTCGTCAAATCCATCACTGTGAGAAAATGAAGTTTTTTTAATAAGGCAGGAAATAAAGGAAAAGCTAAGTAGGAATATTACACATCGATCAAGCACGGTTGGAGATGTACTCATCCATTTGGAAACCATCGGCGGCTTCAATTAAACGTGGTCTACAAAATAACCTCAACAGACCTTTCCAATGGGAACAGCTAAGGCTCTATCCTACCCTGACTTCTTGTACTTCAAACCATGCAGAACTTAACCCCAAATAGAACCATCAAAGATTCTATACAACTGAAATACTCAAAAAATGGTCGAAAAATATTCAGAGAAGTACAAATTTCTGCGTGTGTCATGTTCGTGACTCTGATGGCAGCCGCTGTGATAGGAAACGCTGTGGTCATGTGGATCATCTACAAACACAAGGCTAGTCTTCCTCCTTTCTACTTAGTATCAAAAACTCCTAGCAGTAGCCACTGGACCATTTCGATTTCAAAGTGTAGAAGAAGGCATCCATCAACTGCCTGAGAATGGCACTTACCGCTAACCTTATGAAGATGGTCATTTTGACCAGCTTACTCTCCACAGAAGGCACAAACCTTATAGGATAACCCAAATGGCAATAGAAATGAGAAAAACGATAAGTTCTGAAAAATTCAGGTGATGCATCATGGCTTCAACTATTTTCTTTTCAACATGGCTTTTGCGGACCTGCTCATCGCAGTTTTCAATGTGGGAACGTCCTGGACATTCAACCTTTACCATGATTGGTGGTAAGTTAACACATACAATCCGCTTAGTTGCAAAAAAGTTCCAGGCTTTTGAGCTTGCCGAGCAGGAAAATCAGTAAAAGAGTGGTACAACTTATGAAGTTCTCTTCAAGATCAGACGTTTGTTTCAAGATTGAAAATCTAACTGGCAGATGTCCACAAACCGACACTGGAAGCCAGCACAAAAACGAAGTGGTGGAAGGGGTAGTTACGCATTCTGGGCTGCTCTTTGTCTTATCAGCTATGGTTCAAAAACCATTATGAGGGCGGGGCAAGTTATGTCCTTGAAGTGTAAGGGATAAGGAGAAAATACTGAAAAGCGCAAGTACGGCTTCAAGTCCCGTCCCAGGCAGGCGCTTTGCCCAAACTCGCCGACCTTATGAGACTTTCGCCTCTCGTAGTGCGGCGAAACGACAACAAGTCCAAGAAAAAACATCAATTCCACTTGGCATTTACGCTCCGCCACTGCCTCGTTAATATTGTTCGACTCTTCCGCCACAACTGCTTCTGTAAACTTTCCTGTGTTGCTAGGGATTCAATCGTTCAGGTATGGCGATATTTGTGTTCTGACTTCATTTTTTGGCATCGCTCCAACTACAGTATCTGTGTTCTCAATGATGGCTCTCAGCTGGGATAGGTGAGTGAGATTTTACAAACTGCTAAATAAAAATGCGTTTTTTTTTTGTAGTTGCGAACTTGAAAGATTTAAATCATTACCTGAACAATTGTTGTTTGCATCCAGAGTTCTAGTGCTAGTCTCGTTCTCGTCAATGTACGTAGTAACGTGAGAAGAAGGGAGGCCGATTTCTGACCTGAGGCTAAGGCACCCCCATGGGGAAAGAGCAGTAGTCCAGATCACTCTGAACATTTCTCTCGATGTACAGCGCGCCTATGACTTGGGTCCCTATCAAGAAGAAACCTTACACAAGTTGGGCTTAGTTACGACTCAGTTTAGCCATCAACAGAGATCCATCACTGGCAGGTCTCTGACTGCAAAATATTCAAGCTTTTTTTAATCGTGATCCTATTATCATTAGCATTGTCTTTGAAGCAACGAAGTTTTGCCTTTCTTGACTTTTGTAGGTTTGTTATTTTTGGTTTTTTCGGTTTTTTTGATTTTTGAGGTTATGGTAGCGGATACAGTCCTCCCAGTCTTGGAATAGAGTTGCTGGTCAAGTTAAGCCCATGTCAGACAAGCTTCCCTCCCTCTCGAGTTCGATTCTGAATGAACATATCGAGTGTACATTCAATAGAGAAGGGACGAACCTGAACTACTTTTTCTTGATTCGATTGAGAATTTACAAATGCTCTCTGATTCGTTAACTCTCCCCTCTGTTGAAGTTGAATATCATGGAATATGAGATAGTCAAAATTATTTTGACTTAAAAGGATTTTATGGAGTTGTCATGAGAAGGGATCTTTTCAGATGCCAAGCCGTGGTGCGACCGTTGCGGAAACGTCCCCTGTCACGCCGTCGCTCTCTCATTACCATAGCTATCATTTGGGCCATTTCTACTGTTACTGCGCTCCCATTCGCATTCGCAGCTACAGTAAGTGAAGCTCCAGAATTCGATAAATCGCAATGAATTCATCGCTGTTCACCCCACATTTTTCATTACCTACAAGACTATTTTTATTTTTTATGAGCCAAACCTCAACCTGGAACTTAATTATATGTGAGGCATCACGACCTGAAGGAAAAATGAAAGGCCGTTTTTCAGGTGCGGGAACTTTATCTGTTCAACGTTCTGAGCAGGGAAGTCTCAATCCGACATGCCTGCGCAGCACCTGCACATCCCGTGTAAGTTTCATGGGCCAGTTGGACCAGGGTTGACCATCACGACCAGCCATAGCTCAATTGAGAACTAAGCAACAAGAAAAGCGTCAGCTGGTCACCGAGATCTATTTAGTACATTCATGGTTCAACAATATCAATCAAATTCCATATCAACTAGTCTTTTGCGCAAATTGTATGAGGAAATCCATTTTCTCCTTCCGAAAACAGAATGGCAGTAAATAACTCATGAATAATTACAGATTCGATCACATTCTGTTCCTTATCCAGTACGCACTGCCCCTCTTCGTACTTTCACTCACCTTTGCTCGGATTGCATGTGCATTCAGGTAACGATTTTCATTCTCATGATGGTCGTAACCGGTAGAACGTTCCAGTTGCCTTTCCTGCCCCCGACCCCACCTTAAATTTATCCATCTTTAATTAGACAGCTGCCCAACCTGTATGCAGTACCTGGTAGCCAGAACTATTCCGTGAAAAGTAGAGTTCTACAAATTGTTTCTCCCATGCCGAAGGCTTCCACCCTATCTGTTCTTACTTGAAGACCCTAAAAGGGATTACATTGTTTTGGAAGCGCCATAGATTGATTCACTTCTGTATATGGTAGGAAAAGAGTGTATAAATCGTAGTCAGTGGCAATGATAGGCAGTAATAGAGAGTTTTCCGAGAATGTCGAAGCTCCTGAACCCCTTTTTCTGATATCTACTGCTTAAACATCGCTTTAGGTCGACGGATGTCGCCGCCGGTAGCAACTCGAAGGCTTCAAATCATATCAGAGCAAAGAACAAGGTTCGGTTTGCAACAGCTGAAAACTGTTTTTCATGTTTATTTCTTCTTTATCTTTTCATATTTCTTCACACTTTTTTTGTTTTTTCCTCATGAAGTGTGAGTTTTAACAATGTGGAGAAGGAAGCCTCGTGAAAGCGCCGGCAGAAGACTTAAGCTTCAGGAGAACTAGCTTCGCAAAAGGCCCGCCAAGGCTGTTGTAGGGAAGGTATAGAAAAAGGAATTGGACCTCTTGTTCGAGAAGGTCGATAGTAAGGAACCCAAGAAGTTCATCTTTCTATTGATCGAAGCCCTACATCGGATTATTCAAGACGTCGTAGCAGTGAAGGCCTAAAGTACAGGGACGACGCAATCCCGAGCAGTCTGGTGTCCAGATGTCAAATGCAGGAGGGAAGAATATTTCGATGAGCTCCTAGATGAAGAATCCTACCTTGAGAACAGACACGGCGGCTGAGCGCATAACACTCTGGACCGGTGCGATGCGTAGGGATGGAAGTTGCAAAGAAGAACGACTGGTCCAGACGGTGTATCGCACATTTAGAATACACATTCGAGCAAGAACTCAGAGGTCAAGTTTTTTGGAAAATCCTGTGGTATCGGGCAGGTGAGACTTCTGGATTCCAAATTCACGGCAAAGGTAAGCTCTCGATGAGAAGAAAACTATGAAACATCACCTCAGATGCTGGATCCTCGGTAAATCAGCAAGAAAATCCAAATCAGAAGGTTTCATACATGGCCGGGTCGGAACACTCCACAAAAATTCCGGACTGCGAAATCTGTCTTGTCTCATGCAGCAGTTTTAATTTCCCTTCCCTAACCATAGCTTTCTGAAATCGTTACAAATTCAGTGGTCCTTTATTAATTAGGAATTACCAGTACATTCGGTTCATAACATCGACATTGCGTTGCCCAATCTGAAATTCATGGGAAGAAAAGAAAATTGGAAAGAGTTCTGCGGGCATTCAGCAATCATCAGGCTTCTTCATTGGATTATTTGATAGACATCTAATCGGCACGATGAAAAGCTCGAAACACGGAACGAAAACCCTCTAGACTACAGGCCCAGCGTTACATAAATTGACGGATCGGTTCTACCGAAGGGTTTGCTGAAGGAAAAATATTCATTCAAAAGCGCACTCTGACCCTACCGACTTCATAAATGTAATTATTGAGTCGTGAGTTAGCTGTGGTGACTCCATGAGATAACTTCCCAAAAATGAATGCTTCGTTTCTAAAAGTCTCGACTTCCCAATAGAACGCCCACTACACTTTCACAACAAGTAGTAGGGGCACGTCCTGGCTGTTGAGGGGGATGGGGAGGGGGGAGCTAGATTAATGTTTGCGGGCGTCTATGTTTTTGCCATCACTTTTAGCACTTATCAGCCTCCCCCTCTCTTTTTTGA